AAATTATCGTTGTGCAATTTGTTGAGTGACAAACCTCGTGTGATAGCTTTACAAAATAACTGTTGATAAGCCTGAACAAAGTTTATTGCGAATGCTTCTTGTTGGCAAGATGTGAATTTTTATGTGTGTCATTACAGTCTAAATTTTAACAAAACAATTTCCCTTAGGTTTGCTTCGGTGAAGGTCCAGATGTCGATCCAGACTCACGTGATGACGTAGACGTCATGTGGACCGTTGACGTAGCAGCCGAATTTGTCGAGCAACATTTGATAGGAGTTGAAAACAGACCAAGTATAGTTGAATACTGCATATATACAGTAAGTATAAACCTTCACAGGTACTGGTAGACGGACTGTAAGTTAAAGACCCGATCCTTATCATGAAATTTCCGAGCAACGGATACCTCAAAACAAAGGACACCATTAGTATATTAGTATAAATAACAAACTACATGCATGAAAGCGTTATCCCACGCATACATATATGTAGACATGGAAATTTGAAAACATATACTCAAAAATCTGGCAAAACACTTGACTATCACCGTATCTTGCAAGCTTCTCTCGTGATTGTCTGTCACTATACGTCTAGAAAGCGGAAACCTCCAAACATCGGACATCAAGCTTTGGTCCCTATATAGGTATTCATTTATACAGAGCTTGTACTGTGATAACTTTATATTATACATAAGAAGGAGTTTATATATTAAAGGATTTTGACTAGCTAGAGGTGTGTTACTAATTAATTCAGGAATAGAAGGAAACCGCATTCCATTAGATTAGACTAAAATCTAAAGCCAAGAATGTTTTTACAGCCAACACCTGATGGGACGTGTATCTTGGACAAACATCCTCGTTTCAAGAATATCATTGTCGGAGTTGGATTTTCTGGTTAGTAACTACTAATTACTTATAGTTACTCATGTACTGTGCCTGTATATACGCGCATGTAAGTTTTTAATTGACAAATTTGGCTAACATTGTTTAATCCATGTTACCCAATTCACAAATCACAACTTCAGATAGTTTATAGTTAGTTACTATATCGTTCTAGTTTACAGAAGCATAGAGTAGAACGAGGTAACTACAGGGGCGTAGGAACCGGGGGGGGGCCATGCCCCCCCCCCCCAAGTTTTGGCAAGTGCCCTTTTTACAGGAGCAAAGTGCCCTTTTTGTGCCTGAAAATTTTTCATAAAATTCGCAGTTTTTGTCCAAACGAAACTTTTGAAAACTGTAATGTAGGTTTTTTTCCCGAAAAATGTTTTAGTTTCCGATAAAAATATCATATATTTGTTTTTCCGGAAAAAATTTTTAGTATTTAAGGAAAAATATGGTATGTCCGGAAAAATTTTTTACCCCTAAAATGGTACACTACTGACCGAAATTTTTGTGACAGAGAGGTCGTCCAAAATTTTTTTTGAGATGCCTTTTTTTTGAAAGTGCCCCTCAAAGCCTGGCCCCCAACTTTTCTAAGCTTCCTACGCCCCTGGGTAACTATAAGCATCAGAATTATGTATTAGATTTATTCACTTATTATAAGTAGATAATTTTAAAGTGTAGTTACTTACCTTTCTTCTATTCTATTACTTGGATTACAAACCCTAAAAACAGCATTCTAATATTAATTTCACCAAGTGGAGTGCAAGAAACCAGATCATTGAAATCCACCTTATCACAACCCGCACAGCCGACCACCTATATATACATGAACTTACTGTTACATGCAGCTTAACAGCTGGCCTCTGTGGCTCAGTTGGTTAGAGCACTGCACCGTAATCGTAGGGCCGTAGGTCCAATTCCTACCAGAGGACCTTGTGCTGCATTTTTTGCAGTCGTTCCTGGTCAGGTCTTAAAGTGTATAATTATATATACTCACTTGGATTACAAACCCTAAAAACAGCATTCTATAACAGCTATAATTATGCAGTGAGTTCTCTAAAGTTATTAATTGGGTTTAGTATACGTTATAAACAAGCGTTAGCCAAATTTTTCTATCGCTGTGTGATCAACACGACTGTATAACATTCATAAACCATTAGTGGATTCTATGAGCCTTTACATCTTTGCTATATAATAGGTCAAGAGGATTATCTCAATTTTAGGATATGGATTTAAACTTGCTCCTGTTTACGGAAAGATTCTGTGTGAACTTGCCTTTGACTTGGTTTGTTCTTACGATCTACGATCGTTTAGACTAGACAGGTTTGAAAACCAACTTCCAAAGTCTTCATTGTAACTGAGATATTGTAAGGACAGTTGGAAATATGGTTAGATCATGCAAAGATATAGTTCTTGTTCTTAAAGGTGACATGACACGAATTTTTTTATTGTCCCATCTGAAAGAATAGTCAATACTGTAAAGTACCTTCTTTTACAGATTTTCGTTTACATTCTTCCTTGGTGAGATAATTCAGTTTTGTTCACATGCCGATTGCAAACAAATTTACGTCACAGTTTGCATAATGAGCTACCAAATATTTGATAATTTATGTGTTTTTATCCAACATCGTCTCTAGTTAACCCATTGAGCCGCAATGCGCCCAGTGCGTCCTACTTATTTTTTTACTTCTGCATATACGTATGCTTTACATTATTCTCAGCATAACGCATGTGAATTTTCAAACAATTTAATCACTTATAAAAGTGATAACCTGACATTTAACGATAACTCATTATGCAAAGTGTGACGTAAATTTGTTTGCACTGCATATCAAGAAAACTGAATTATCTCACCAAGGAAGCACGTAAACAAAAATGTACAAAAGAAGTTGCTTTCCAGTTTTGACGATTCTTTCAGATGGGGCAATAAAAAAGTTCGTGTCATGTCACCTTTAACTACGGTTATCTGATGTTATACAGATCTCACTATCTTAGTGCTGAGCTAAACATGGTATAGATCGTGCGGACATAGTACAATGTCATGTTCTTGGATGTGGGCTATATGTTAACGCGTTATGATTCTGTACAGAACTGGTTGCTGAATAAGTTGTTAACATGGTTAGACCATGCTGAGGTAGAATACATGTTTTTGGGTGTTGGCGGCTATCCTAATGTGCATGGTCACTTTGTGGCACAAAATTTGCGTGCTTTTCAAAACAGTGATTTGGTAGAGGGTATACAGTATTTTATAGGTTTTGCTTTAGGTAACATATCAAGCCCTTGGTGAGAGTTGGCAAGCGAGAGTTTTCATGAGAGTTTTATCAACTCTAGTGCCTCTGTTAAATGAGAACAAGAGTTGATGAGAGTCGACGGGATATTAGCGCCCGGCGTAGCGAAAACTCTCATCAACTCATTAAAATTTGAACCATTTCGAAGTTAATGAGAATTAGCGGTGAAACGCAAGCGACAGTCGCAACTCTCACCAACTCTCGTCAACACGCCCATGCTCCACACTTTTGCTAAATTTTGCTAAAAAAGGTGAAGCCATGATTTTTCTGCCTACTGTATATTATTAATTATTTCTATGAATTCAACCTGTAATAAAATGAAATTGTAGACAATCATCTTCTTTCTACGGTCGTTTATTCATTGCAATAATAAGTAACAGAAACAAATACACCACGACATGCTGTATATGTTGTAAACAAAAATAATAAAATTAAATGTCAATCCACTCAAAATTAAGAGAGTTTAACAATAACGACCAGTTCATAGTTATATGACGATCAGAAAATGATGCGACGTGTTGGATTGGGATGACGACAATCACATTTTGATCCCCACAGTCTCCAGTCGCATCCCATCCACGACCACTTTTTGGCGTAGTGTGGCGCTGCTGTTGCTCGACTCTTGCCATTGGGTAACTTGACTTGCCCATAACGGATACAGGAAGAACCTTTGCATTGACATTTTACTCCAATTTGATAGCGACAATCGTCATTATGGTGGCAGCCTTGAGGTGCGAGAGTACATTGGAAGACAGGGTTAGTGGAGGTTGAGTGCGACGCGTAGTCAAATTTCTGCAATGGTGGTGTACCAGGGCGAACGCTTGGTTGATATGGACAACCAAAGTTTAAGTAACCATCAAAGTAATACTCAAGGTTAAGTGCTTGAACGCGAGCATTCTTGTTCTCCGAAATCACCCCACTGTGGCGGCGCAGGATTTCCCAGATTGGTGTGAGGGTGTAAGATATGGGGGTGGGGTGGGTGTTTCCTTCAGACAAGAATTTGATAATGAGATCACTGGAACGTTCATATACAAGTCTATTGCGTAAATCGATTGAGCCACCGCGTACTGTTATAGACGTCGACATTTTAGCTTTGGACAGTTTGTTGATTTCTTCTTTACTGACACCAGAGCACGCAGACAAAGATAGTTTACCAGGGCCAAGACCTGCACCGAGGGAAGCACAAGCTTTCACAGTAAATTGCCAAGATGTGTAGGAGGATTTAGTCTCGGCGAAAGCATACTGGTCAATACTTGATCCGAATGTGACAGCAGTGATCACGTGAGAGCCATGAGACTCGAGGAAATGATGGTATTCACGCCATGATGATTTGTGCCAAGGATTTTTTATCACTGTAGGTAATTCTGCGAAGTCAGCCACCACTCGAGAATGAAGGGATGTTTCATACATACAATTTGGTAGGAACTGTTGGACGAAGGATTTAGTTGCAAGGTTTAGAGATGTACCACTGACTTCACGTTTATTACCACTAATCGACTTAGTTGTGATGTCCAGAGTAAGTCCCAGAGAGAACGCACCTTCGTAGCCAGCTTTAAGGTTAGTCTCAGTTGAGACGCTTTTGTAGAATTCTGCGGTGTTCTTATAAGACGTCTGATCTTTTACTGTCGTCGCTATATTGAGTTTACGTTGACAACGATCTTCGACATCTTTGAAGAACGAGATTCCATTTGGAATGGAACCCAGTAGATCTTCTTCAGGAATGTAAATGGATTTCCCAAGAATTGGATGGAAATCACCCTCACTTGAAACAACTAGAATATAAAAAGTTGCGGTCAAATGAAGCCATTTATTATAAAAAGTTGCAATCAAATGAAGCTATCTATTTTCTTTATTATGTAATAACAAAATTTTGGAAAAAAATTACAGGAATTTAGTTTTCGTTGTTCTACGTTACATCAGAATTCGTGTAAGTTCTGTAAGTGGTGATGTTGTAGTATTTGTAAACGATAACAAGAAATATTAGCAACAAAATATAACATAAAAACACTGAAAAAAGAAGAGTTCCGAGGATTGTTAAAGATTGCAACCTCGTACCCAGGACGTTATCCTTCCGCGGTTGGGCGCCACGAACAATTTTTCAGAAAGTGCTTCGATCAATCGCCGCGTTGTTGTGAATAAGTACGGCGATTATTCGTGAACGGCGCTGTTTAATAATTTTGCTCTCATATGCGACGTTTAATCGGGTAAATATGCAGCGTTCATCAAGTAAATACGGTAATGATGACTACATTCACTGGACAATGGGGGCATGGTTTAAAAAATGAATGTTAACCACATACTATCAATAGTGAAAAATATAAAGACTATTTATGTCATAGCTTTGCCAGGAGGGGCGTGCTTTTCAATCGCTTCCTATACCGGTACTATTTTTCTGACTCAGGGCTTTCAACACGTGGTAGTTCCGGAATATATAGTAGAAGCCCACGGCTTACGCTGAGAACCATCCATTATTTTCTTTACTTTCCATTTCTTTTTCTCATTCAAAGCGCTATTCTGCCGTTTGAGCCAAAGTCTGACTTGGAAAGTTGGAGCGGAAAAAATCTTGTAAAGTAGGTTGCTCTACGTTAAAAATAAAATTATTCTATGAACAATTCACGTACAAAACGTAATTATCTGTCTCACAATTAAACGGAAAATCCAGTTACCTATATAGCCGTCTGTTTAGCCCTAAATTTACTTACGCTCTGCAATGGCAAACGCCTGAAGTATCAACAGCAAATATCCAATGCAATTCATTCTACAAAATATAGGTTCGTAAACTTAAAGTATGAAATATTTAATCGTCACTGGAATATATAGAAATTTGTTACTTTAATTCCATACTTGAATTTTTACCTGCAACCACTGAAGACTGGTTTGTCAACTTTTTGCTTCTTTCCAAGATTCTCCCGTGCATAAACGCAGGAAACGCAAACGGTTATGACCAAGCTAGTGGCCAAGAGTAAGTAACTTTATATCGTCAGTTCACCAAGATATTTCAATTTCTGCTCAACAGTTGTTTAAACTTATAAATAATTTTTTAATCTATACGGATAATCGGTACTCGAAGTTGAAGTGTCTAAGATAATGATCTTTACACAGGCAGTTGAATTGACAGTCATTATCGACAACGAAAAATATCGAATTCACTGGATTGTTCTTCAATAAAAACGTCATTGGATATGTAAAGAGTAATTAGTTGTAATTTACACAAAATTACATGTTGGTTTTGTTGCTGTCGATTAATTTATTGTTCAGTTGTGTATTGTCGTCATTTTTTGTGTAATATTGAGACGTATATATGACGGTATGTCCTGTGCCTGTGGTTGGAAATTTTACTCAATATTTTATGGGTTTTTTAATTTACACATGATTTTTTGCAGTCCTGCATTTAACATACATGCATACATCAGATGCATGTTTAACAGCTAGCTAGGTCTTGGACTTGGGCAGGCTGCGTCAATTAACGTTTAACCACTGCTTTTAACAAACTTTTTGCAGAATATTAATCGCGGAAAACTTTTAGAGCAAGGAAATAAAGTACAAAACATTTAAAAAAAAGACTCATGAAAAAATCCTGAAAATCATCGACTAAAACAAGACGTATAGGACTAAATTTAAATTGATTCATTTCGATAGAATCATCATGCGGACCAACTGATAGTGATTGGTTAATTTATAATGTCTTAATGAGTATTGACTGTATAGTGCATGTATAATGATGGAATATATTCATTTACTAGTAAATTTACGTCTTGTTTTAGTCCATATCATCGGTTTTCCGACGTTTTTCAGTTTTTGTTTTACTGCTGATGAATTGAGGTTACATGTATCCTCCTACTGCAAGCAACAAATTCACGAAAATAGAAACTTGTTATTTAACCAAAATGTTCTAATTTATCAAAATTTCCGGTCTAATTTTAATATCAATAAACATGTACACGCATAAATTTATAGAACATTTTGCATGGTTAACATAACACGTTTCTATTTTCATGAATTTGTTGCTCGCAGTACGAACTTCGATTCGTCTTCAAACGCCGATGTTTAAAGCAATAAAGATTTGGTGACCGCAATCAGTGTGTCACATGCAGTACCTTGTGTTCAGGCATTAAAATAGCGTGTCCTTGTACACACTTTGTGTCCTTGTAAAAGGCGAATGTGCCCTTGTAAATTGAAAAGTGTGTACTTGAAAATATATTAAACTGAAAACATATTAATGTAATCCACGCAAAATGGCCAAAGATTTTGCAAATTCTTTTCTCAGAACTCTGGAAATGCCATTTCAGAGACCCCCTTAAAAGCTCGCGTCTTCGACGCTAAACTTGTGGCTTCGCCACTCGTTCTCGTGAGTCTGCACATTTATACCAAAAATACGCCTCTGAAGGCAAAGTGTGTCCTTGTAAAAATTCCGCATTTTAATGCCTGCTTGTGTTAATAGGACATAACTCATAAGGACATCAAACTACTGTACTATATATAAATCAGTTAATCATTGTAATGAATAAATAATTATTTTATAGATATAGATTGTTTTCGGGTTTTTTTTTATACCCTGTATACATATGACGTGTTCAATTAATTTAACTGACTCTAAATTGCCTTTCTGTACTGTTAAGGAGTTACGCAAATATTACTTAACCATACACTGACACATTTATAATTATGTTGACTTTAAAATGTCTGAAATCACTGAAAATAATTATGTTTGTTCTATGTTGTTTTAAAAGTTATAAATTATGTAATTGAAAATTATAAATTCCCCCACTATTACATACCATAAACCTCCGAATATAAGCCCTCCGTGTATAAGCCCCCCCCCCCGTGTATATGCCCACCACATGTACTAACGCTCACCTCATTCCAAATATAAGCCCCCCCCCCGAATAGGCCTATAAACCCACCCAAATATAAGCCCACTTGTTTATCACTATTGTTTATCACTATTACCACTATTTATCACTACTATGCTTGTTTAACACTTGTTTATCACTATTACTGTACTTGTTTATCACTATTACACTAACACAAAAGATCGTCCATGTGATTTTTGATGGGCTTATACAAGAGGGGACTTATATACAGGGTGTATCAAAAAAAGGTAATCGAACTTCAGCGCGCTATTGTAGGCCGTTTTCGCATTTTAAATAAGAAAAGAACCAACGTCAAGCTTGATATTTTCCAACATGTAAAGTAAGCTAAAAATGCAGAAAATTATTGATTCACATGCTTGCCATATAGCTAGTCATATAGCCGATCCCTCCGATTTTCCGTATTTTGACGGTTTTTGTTGCCACTTGCAAGTCAGTACAGAACCATGCGTGTTATCTTAAAAGTATAGTCGTAGAGAAATGTGCATACTATAAGCATATGGCCGGTATGAATGAATTAAATCCTTTCGACAGGGTTGTCCAATCAGTGGTAAACCACTATTGTCAACTGGAGCCCTGCATGTACATACTATCCCTGTAAATACTATTCAGGACCGGCGCTAAAGGGGGGTGGAACACACCATATCAAGAATGATAGCTAAAATGTGGAGAAATATACAAAACAATTAGGGAAAAATGGAACAACAACGTGGTTCAACACAAAACAACATTGGGTCGTTCCAGGAAATTTCTGCCGTCCGGAGGGGGAGGGGAGAACAAATTGTTTCTGATAATAGTAAATGTATTAGGACATCCGAAGGGGGTAGGGTGGTTAACTTCCTATTTCGTCCGTGGGGGTCGTATGGATGTTTTCTGGAATGATCCATTGAAAAATATGATGTCCCCCACTCCGCCCGCAAAAGAAATATTGTGGTTGTAGTGACTCAGCCAAATTTGCCTTCATAACTCGGCAAAATTTACTCACCCCCCACCCCCACCCCCCATTCAAAGAGGTCTTAGATATAGGGATAAGCATGAAAAAATTACCTTACAATATTAACTTACAATGTTCTGGCCACTATGGCCCCTAGATACTTTCTAGATAGACTTTAATATTATTCACTCGTTTTCGCGGTATTTTTCCGTAATCGCATCTCATTATTAGCGAGCCAGGGGGTATTTTTACTAGGGATGGGCGATACCAGCTTTTTCATTCGATACGATATTTGCTCGATATTTGCCGGGTTTTTTCGATATCGATATCGATATTTTCCCAACTTGAAATCATTAACAACGGCCACAACGCTAACAATATAAACATTGAATAATATATGTCAGTGATTGCAACCAACATAACCAGAAACTCCCATCCTTCCCGTGGACCATTATA